CGTGTGCTTTTTCCCTTTTGTAGGTGCCTGCCACTTTCAGCAATCTTGCTGTTCAGTCTACAGAATTTTAACAGGCTTTGGTTAAAAATTTACACTCAAGTTCACAGGAGGCAGTAGAAATGGACAATATTCCCAGTCAGGTCATGACTTAGGTGACCAGAAAGTTTAGCACTTATACTAGCTGCTCTCCTGCTGCTGTTACATTCCTGTTACATGAAAAAAAAGTCATCTAGGCTAAGAAATGCAAAGAATAGAAACATGGTCCCTAGGATTGTATAAACCACTGGTTAATCTGAACACAGTTACGTACACTTTTGAAGAGTACTTTGTTGCCTCACTCACAAAAACAAAGATATAAACAACCTGACTTTACTTAATGCTTTCTTTCTGGCCTGATTGAATAGTTTTCAAAAAGCTTCAGCCATACTCCCTACTACTTAAAATCATTGAGCATTAGTCTTGTCTTTAATACCCACCTTGATATATACACACAAGGTAGAAGCATTTCTCATTCCAGCATTTGTGTAAGAGGTAAATATCGTGGATTCATTTTAAAGAGGACAAACTTGGATACATACAGGTGGATTAATGTAAGTCCCCACTATCAGACTGGGAGGACTGTCAGAGCTGGGAGGAGAGCCTGGATGCTCCAAAGTCCAGCCTGGAGTAACTATATCAGGTTTTCCATGTTGGCCAGTCCCTCTTAGCTGCCCAAGACACATGTGAGAAGCTGAATGTTCTCAATGTCCACTGAACTACCTCATAGATGTTATTACATTCTTGTGTGTCCTACTGCACAGTGTGCCTGTCTGTATTTGACTTACTTGCCATGGGTCTGTCTCCCTTCTCTTCTGTTACTATCACCATTCAGTGATAGATTCTGTTACTATCTATCCTAGTAACAGATTCACAGGAGCCATGTTCTCAAGTCTTTCAATGTAGCTAGTACTGTACAAAGAGTGAGATTTCAAGTCATATTTGGTTAACCTGACACATTTCTACTGCTGTTTCTTCTTACCTGCTGCCACTCAGGTAGGATATGGGTTTCCTGTCTTCCATGTTATGTCTACCAGCCCCAGACAGATGTCTTGAATATCCTACAGCATTTAAAATGGCACCAGGTGCCTGTGTTTAGATAACTGAATGTCTTCTTCGGTCCCTTCTCTGCAGTTTGCATAGGTCTGTGTTTTATTTCAATGGTTATGGTAGGAGATGTGGTCTGTACCTCTGGGGCCATATACGAGGTTCACCAGAACTCGCAGGAAGTGCTCAGAGAAACTTGTGTCAGTTTTGTCATTTACAGATCCACAGCTAAAGCTGCTCTAACTATAAAAAAAATGGCAGCTTCTGTCATTGCAAATCCCGTCTTACCACTGGTTTGGGTTTATTTTAATGCAGCATTTCCAGCTAGTTATATAGGAGTGTTTTCTCTCCTTCTTAGAATGTAAACTTTCTCATAAATGTCTGTTTCCCATGGCACTAATTTGGTAAAATGCTGCTGTAAGTTTCATTTTGTCTCCAACTGTGCAGATGACTGCCGAGGAGCAATTAGGAGTTGTAGCCTGAGCTCAGTGGAACATTAAATGCTGTAGTTTAGTAGTCACTTTGCTCCATTCTGTGCTCTTGCACAAATCTCTGCTAATCTACATAAGTAATATGTGCACAGGCTTCCAGGAACTGCACACATTTGCCGTTTCGAGTTTAGGCTAAATACTCACCAATGCTGTATTTTTAGCACCTCACGTTTTACCAAAAAAGCAGCATAAAGGTTATCAAGTTCCTCCCAAAGTCAAAAAAATAAAAGCGGGTATGGGAAAATGCCACTGGTAATGTTTATCCAGAATGTAAAACATGGTATCAAAATAAGTCATATTTTTCTTGGATTCTGACCAAAAGAGAGCTGTCAACAAAAGAAAAGTATATAGGGTTAGAAGGGAGGAAGGCTATGGAAAAAAAAATTTAGAGGCCCTTTTGTTTTCCTTTTCCTGTGAGAAAAAGTCGTCTTAGGCATGTTTGTAAGTCATGTGAGCTACTGGAAACTACTAGACCTTCACCTCACAAAACACATATCCCATTTTAAAATCCCAGTGATAAGAATTTTAAGAAAAACCTTTGTGCCTAATCTATACCTTCTGGCTTGCTTTGAATGTGAATTTGGAGATGCGTTGAACAACAGCTCTTTTAGAGATTTAGAAATGCAAAATCTGCTTTTGCTGAAGCTCCCTCTATGACAGCAAATAAGAATCCTTTCATTTTCACTGCATTGTTCTCTTTCCTTCAGAATAATTCTGTGAATTGGATATTATTTTCACACTTGTCTAGGTAAGGAGATGGAAGCAGAGACTGAGAGGCAAATTATGTATAGTCACTGCATAAGTGCAGAGGATTAATAAAAGAGACCTCTGCTGACTGTTGTGCCCAGCAAAGAGAGGATAATATTGCTATAAGGTGTCATTGAAAGATTCCCACCGATAGATATGAGAAAAGAACTGGTCCACGCAATGGGCATATGCTCTGTATTTGGAGTCCAGGAATGCTTGTTCTCATCCCAAATATTTTTTTCTAGATAAATTGCCCAAAAAATTCTCAACCTAATAGTCCCTCTTATTTCCTGTAAAAAGCCCAGGACAGGCAACCTTAGTAATACAGATTTTGGCTGTATTTTAGAACAGTCAGGCAAAAGACAGAAAAATATGATCAGGTACCAAAAAAGTGGTGAGCTGGCATGGCCTTTTTGGAATTACCTCTTGTAACATCCAAGGTTTTGGAAGCAACTTCTCCACAGTAACTTAGAGTCTCACTGCGTGTCTCTTATTTGCCTCTAGCTGTGTACAACTATTCCCCAAGATCAGCTTTATAAAGAAGAAAGTGGTATTTGCCTTCCATGCTAGATAGACCTTAGCTGGTGCACAGCTTGAGCAGTTCTCCCATTCAGAATGCTCTTTCTGAGTTTGCAAATAAATTGCTTTAAAATGCACTTGGAGGAGTGCATTTTATAATCATTTTATAGAACTTTTCACTGTGAAAACATTATGAAACTCATTCAGTTCATTCTTTCTGCCATCTTCAAGTCGAAAGTTTTGTTTGTCAGTTTTCTCTCCCAATCTGAGTGCTGCAATAAGTTTAAATCTTCTTGTCAAATTGCTTAAATGAGTAATCTCATGGATTTGTGTATGTGTGTGAATGTGTGCCGCAGGGTACAAAAGGACTGCAGTCTTACAGCACTAGTTGTCTCCATGGGAGACTTCAGCTGATTTGTGCCACTGGTCTTGTAATTCATCACAGGAAAAACTCAGTTTATGATGAATCTTGCAGTGTGGGTGTTGAGCCTGAGCATCATTAGTTCAAATTGGCTTGTAGGGATGTTCAAGACTTGTCAAAACTCAGGTCAGCGGCAGATGTTGGAAGAAATTGTATTCCAGTCGCAGAGTACTGTGTCTCTACTTCTGTATTTAAGCAACCAATGCGGAATACTGCCTTAGATTCCAGTTTATGAAACCACTTAGGCACACATGAAGCCTTGCTGTCTTGAATTAATCCTGTCTGTATGTCCAGGTACACAAGAATGTGCATATGGCAGTTTTGGAAGGCTTCCTTGAAAGTGTACTGTGTTGTTTTCATTGATCCCACATACCTGAACTCCGCTTTGTAAGTGCAAGGCAGTTCAGGTACAAGTAGAAGGATTGGGCTCCAAGACTACTACAAAAGGCATGAAGGAGAGTTGAATGCTAAATAAATAAATAATGAAGTAAAATAAAATTAAATACCTGATTCTTCAACATGTGCTTTCAGTTGCTCCTGGTATGAGCAAGGGAAAAAACAGACAAATAGCTAAAAAGGAATCTGCATTGTTGGACATAATTTAAATCAATGTAAGGAAATATCACCGAATTTTTATTCCAATTAATATCTTCAAAGGTAGCAGATAAATGGCATTTTCAGGCATTTTCATTTGTTTGCTAAACTACAAAAAAAAAATATGTCATCTGTCTGTGCTATTAAGGGTTTGATCTTGAAAAGGGCAAATCTGCTTCACCTGACCAGAGCTAGTTTAAGTGTGGCTAGAATGGAAAATTACTTTTTCAATAAGCTAATCACAAGGGCAAAACTTAGATAGTATGTCACAGAGAGCGATGTCTTAAATTCAGCTGACATAACTGGGAAAAATGAATTGCCCAATGTGAAATTCTAGTTTCAATTATTTAGATAAAAACTTTCTGCTGGTCATGATTTTATTTTCTATGTTTTTTCATGTTTTGTAACAGGTGCCACATGTTTGGGTTTTTTTTAATTTTAGTTATTTTTTTTGTTAGGATTTTTGTTAGTTTCATTTTCTTTTTCATTTATTCTTTTAATAAGCTAAAACAACACTTGGCACTCATTTTGATTTCAGACTTGTTTTAGACCATTGTACAACTTCATCAGATTTCTGGCAAAATCAGGTCCCTTTTTATGTTTCATTAAAAACTGCTCTCAAAGGATTAGTTTCTCTTTTCTCCTTCCCTCCCACCCCTCAGGATGAGGAGCGATTGTCCAACAGTACATTAGCTGTCTTTATTTTCATTATCATGCTATTTTTATTTCATTTAGGTGCAGATATATCGATACAGCGGATGCACAGGATGGCTAGTGATCTGCCTTACAATTGTATCGTTACGCAAAAACTTTGTCTTGGCATATGCTGTATTTCTGCAGTCCAGATGAAATGTGTACTTCACAGTGAGGCTGAACCATTTCTTTGCAACAGGCTTTATTAATCCTAATCTTTTGATTGCCAGCACACTTTGAGTTTGCTCCGGCACCCTCGAGATCCTTCCTAGTTGTGAATGTGTCAGTATGGTGGTGTGTGTCTCTCAGGCTACATATTTTTCATACTTTGGGGAATGAGTTTCAGAATACCAGTGGAACCGAGGGGGGTGAAATGATAATGTGTTTCAGAGCAACAGTGCAAAGCTAAAAAGTAGGGGAGAGACACAAAGTTTTTCTCCTCTTTCCTGTAGCAGGCAAGATGAAGCAATGGCTTTGGCTAAGCATGACGATGAAGATACATTCATTGAAGCACAGCTCCAGCAGACTTTGGCTGACCTGGATGAAGATTTAGAAGGTAGGAAAGTGTGTTGCCTCTTAAGTACAAAAGAGAGAGAAATAACCAGTAGATGCAGAATAATCAGTTGTACTCTGACGCATCCTCTGCATTTCTCACTAAGATCACTGGGAACAACTCACGGGTCTGTGGCAGAATGTGGTCCACCCAAAGTGGTTGCTCTCCCTTTGCTTCAGGAGCAGCCACCTTTTATAGGTTCGCACTGAATATTTTTCAAATTGCATATCTGATCATCATTATATTTCAGTGTCTGCTACCAAAAAGAGATGAACAGTAGTTAATGGACACATTTTATAGGCCAAATTTGGTATAATTTCCCTGACTTAAGTGAAGCTAAACCAGTTGTGAATTTAGCTCTGTGTTTAATGAACAATGCCTCTGTTTTGTATTTTATCATAGTGAAGTGGAAAAAGGATGGGACGTTTTTGTAGCCAACACTTCCTGGTGTTAACAGGCATATTTAAAAGTTAAAAATGGGAAAACATGAATCAGTGGGAAGAGAGAGAATGTCATATTGTGCTCCTCTTTTTTCCTACTGTGGATTAAAAATACTTCTCTATTATTGATTTGTCAAAAAATGGCATTGAATACTTTTTTAAAACTTCCCATCTTTATTTTAATACTTCTGCAGTGGACTAGATTCTGATTTGATTTCTTGTGAGTTCTCTAACATGGCAATTCCTTAGCTTCTGTTTTGTAACCTGTGATTTATGCTAGTGAATTTGAAAGGATATTTAAGCTTCTTGCACAGTGAAGCTTCTGGAGTCACTGGTAATAAAGAGTGAGAATGAAGAAAAAATAAAAGTACTGTTTCTTTTTTTGCTTGTTCAAGGAAATCCTTCAGCTGGGCTGTTATTACTAACCAGATCTGGGAAACATAATTTGGAGTTGCTTGCTGTTTCTCAGAAACGTTTCTCCTTTGGAGTCATGCAGTGAAATGTTTATCACTGAGATAAGTTAGTCAAAGATAAGGTATGAACAATAGATGAAATTCTGCTTTCAGCTGTATTTGTATGTTTCCCACTGGCTGAAGCAGGAGGACTGCAGGAATATTTGGCTGATTATAATCAGCAGCCAGACAATAAGAAGGACCCAGACCTCTCTTTTTTTTGTAATACAAGCATATATATACTCCTGTTACTTTTAGTGTAACTAAAATATCTGGTCTGCTTAAGCTTGTGCTATCTGTTTGTGTAATTTAAAGTCATATTGCTTAAATACTGCCAATATGTAATTTTGTATGTGTATTTTGCAGCAGTAGATGGTATGAGTAACTCTGACTCTGACTACATCAATGAAGCATTGAACCCACATATAAGAAAAGCTGAGGCTGCCCAAGATGTTTCCATTTCTGTTCCAGTAACAGTCATAGACGATGCTCCAGAAGTTAGCACCTCTAACTCAGATGAAAATCAAGAGATGGAGATGAGGGTTCCACAAAATATCTCAATCGACTCTGTTAATACAGGAAACTTAACAAATAAAAACAACAATGCAAGTTCCTTTGATAAGGGACACACAGATGGTGGAGCTGTATGCTTATCGAAGGACCTAATACATCAGCAACCATCTGAAAATGAATTCAGTCATTTGCCTGTGGAACAGCGGAGAGATATGTTTGAATCTCTCACATCCTCCTTCGAAAAAAGAAGTGAAAAGAACTTAAGACTGGAACCCCCTCCCAAACATGGTGTGAAGTCTGAGGAATGTAAATCTAAGCTGAGTCCATCTCACTCCAAGACCACAGCTGAAATCAATACAGCAAAAGAGAAGCTAAATCCGTATAATGAATATAGCAGCAGGGAAAGATCTCTGAAAAAAAGTAAATCAGAATTAGAAATCAAATGGCCACCAGCAAAAAAAGTGGAAGTAGAAGATGTCCCATCAGCACCTACATGGTGTCATCGTGCCCAGAATTCAGGATCGAACTATGAACCTAAAATGGGTTTGACAACCTTTAAAGTTGTCCCTCCCAAACCTGAAGTAAGACATTTCGATAGAGGAGTTTCACTCTCCACTGGTGCCATTAAGATAGATGAACTAGGCAACCTTATAAGCCCAAACACTGGTGTTAGTAAACACATACCAGGTTCTTCTTCTGATGAAAGTGAGGAAATTCATATTGGGAAAGTGAAGGCATTCTGGAGGTCAAGTTCTATGGAAAAGCAAAGTGATGACTCTGCTGAGCATTTTTCTAAAAAGTCAGCAGTCACCGCAAACTCTAAACCCTTTACTGTAAAACATGAACACAAACCTGTCTGTCTTGCAGCTCCAAAACTTGTAGCACCACAAACTGTTACTACCCAGGTAGCCGAAAGACAGTCTGAGAATGAAAGGACCAAACTACCTCTTCCAGTTACACAGTCTCAGGTGACACCATTAGCAGCCCCAACCATTAATAAGGACAAGCTGGAACTTCCATTTGTAAAGCCACATAGGAGAACTTCCAGTCAGTATGTTGCCTCTGCCATTGCAAGACACATCAATGCAACTACCTTTAAGTCTGACTCTGCGGAATATCATGAGAAAGATGAAAACAAGCAAGGGGCAGGAGAGGTTAAGACTGAAGCAGAAGTTTCACCAAAAAGATGTATTATTGTGGCCAAATATAGCCCTGTGGAAACAGAGTCAGCAGAAACAAGAGAAACACTTTCAAGTGTTTTTACTTGCAGTCAGAAAGCATCCCACAGGTTTACACCTGGTGATAATTCTGGCTTGGAAAACAAAGTAGTTAATATCAGGGCACCAAATCAAGCAACTCCTCTGAGTTTCTATAAAAAGAATGGCAGTGTCCCACTTACTAAATCCTCTTCAAAGGATAACAACAGTGCAGAAGAGGATCGTGGTTTAAACAGCAAACAAAGTATAGCAGAGAAAAAGACACGTCTCATGTTTGACCAGAAATGTGAGGCTTTGACCCTTACTAATTCAGCCTCATCTCTTAAGTCTCCTGACCTCCAAGGAGTCCCATCCTCTTTCAGCTCATCTTTGCGAGTCGCTAAATGGCCTCCTGCTAATGGTGTTCAAGTTAATTCATTTAAAGCGTCATCTGAGTTAAACAGTGCACCAGCAAATGCAGAGTCAGAACAGGAGGAGAAACCTGATGATTCAGATATTAATGCTGTCAGTGAAGTGGATATTAATGTGCAGACCAATATCTTTGGACCAAAGAAGAAGTTCAAACCTGTTATTCAGAAACCAGTTCCAAAAGACACATCACTGCACAGTGCCCTAATGGAAGCCATTCAGACTGGAGGGGGAAAGGAGAAACTCAGAAAGGTAAAGTGGAAACATTTTTTAGCCTGTTCAGACTGCAGAGCCCTGTATTCATCCTGTCAGACACCAGAGGTTTTATAACTGGTACAGTTGCTGGTGGGCTGGAGAACACAAGGCATTTGAAAAATTTATAATGGCAAAATACAGACCAAGATGCTGCTTATTCTGCGTATCCTGTATATTACGCAACACCACAGCTGCTGCACTAGCTAGAAGAGGCAGAGGGTGCATAGACACAGCATAAACGAGAGGTAATTGAGGTTAGTCTAAAAGCTGAACCCTCATTTCAGTGTGTTATGTAAAAACAGGAACACACAGCGTGGAGAAAACCTGTAAATAACTATAATGAAAGAAAACTGCATTTTGTATTACTAGGGCATGATAATTGTTTGCCACTGACTTCATGCTTAGGGGATATGAGACTGCATCTCGAAGTACAGTGTTACTATCTACACATATCCTCACTGTTCAGTGTAAGTAAGGGTTTTAAAAGCAGGCCCAAAAAAAGACAGACTGATTAGTCTTCATAGTTTGCATTCTGGTACAAGTGCCAAAAAGTGTGTCCAAGCTGTCTCTAAGTAAATATCTAATAACAATGTGAGGTTTATTCCTTTCATATTCTAGGTTTCAAACAGTGCACTAAATGGCAATCACAGGAAACCCTCATATGCTGAGCCAGAGAATGCGCGCTCAGCCCTACTAGCAGCAATTAGAGGCCACAGTGGCACCTCAAAGCTGAAAAAGGTAAGAAATCAAGACGATAAGTGATCTTTAAAGTGCAGTCTGTTCCTACTGGGTGTTTTGAATACACCCAGATATGGTGTATTCACTAAACATCATGCTGCAAAGGGAGAAGTTGAGGGGGAAACCATATAACAGAAGACCAGATCTGACTTAGGCAGAGAGTATCGCAAGTCCAATTCTATCCTCTGCTATAAAACTTAAACTCTTTCAAATGGTGTGCTTTTAACTTAGAAAGAAGGACATAGAATCCAAACCAATTACAGGGAGTGTACATAGAAGACATCAAATGTTCCTCATTTTCACATTTAGGTGGCATAGAATCATGGAATGGTTTGGGTTGGAAAGGACCTTAAACACCTCCCACTAGATCTGGTTGCTCAATGCCCCATCCAGCCTGCCCTTGAACACTGCCAAGGATGGGACATCCACAACTTCTCTGAGCAGAGAAGTTGTACTTTAGGAGTATGCAGTTAGATTAATATATTTGCATTACCTACCATATACCTCTAGTCCCAGTTACCTGAAAACACACTAGAGCTTCTCCATACTGTTTATCTGCTAACATAGTGCATGCAAGTAGCATGCAAGTAATTGATTTTGATGTTCCATCAGCATTCACCACAGCAGGATGATTCCTTCTCTCTGATTTACGTAATCATTAAAGCATCTCTTATTCCTAATAGCCAAAACCTATATTGTTCTAGCCTTAGTTTTCACTCAGATGACTAATCCAGCCAAAGATGTGTACTTGGCAAGGAGGTTCCCATTTCCCTCATGCAATGACTCAGTTCATTAGCACATATCCAGATAGCTGGCATTAGATAGAAGATGTCTCTTCCTGTGTTAGGGAATTACTTCATCCCTAAATATCTTACTGCACTTGCTGCAGGTAGTGTACAGCTTACTCTGAGCCTGTGAGCAGGATGTGCTAGCCAGCAACAATCTGCACATATACTGAACTGCATTCTGCATTCATTGGGCATAAGTGTAAATTTGTGTAAAAGAGGGTCTGACAATTAAGTGATAGTGTGTCATCACAGAGACTTTTTGGCAGAGAAGCTTATGCCATAATTTTAGAGAAAGTTGCCTAGAAATCGTACACTTCCTTTTCACTATGTCGCCTGTGCTAGTTAAATGACCATATTTGTATGTGTACAGGGCACGATGCAGATGTGCTATGATGAAAGGGCTGTCCTTTTTATGTCATCTCAAATGTTCATCTTTTATCTAACATGAGGTTATACTCATATATATATTGTTTGTGTGCAGTGAGGGAATAGAATACAGGAGCTTTCTGTGGATTATTTGATGGGAGATTAATCCTTTAATTTTTCACTGCAAAAGTTCTGTGTCTCAGTTTCTCTGAGAAGAGAATTCTAATAGATCTGCTTAGAAACCTCCTATTTGGCCCATGATACTGAACTTCCTAGTTATTGCCAAATAATTGTAATTACTAACAATTTATCATGATTATGACTAGTAATGGTGTTAATGGTAAAAGTATCTCCTGAGACAGTTGATGGAAAGCTGGCTTAGTCTGCAAGATTGTCTTTTTCATGTGCGTGCACTTGAAGTAGGATGAGTTTCCAAACTGCTAACTTATGCAGGGATTTTAGTTTCAGAAATTCCACAGAAATATACTTGGAAGAAGAATCAATTGATTTTGTTCTCAATGCTTTCACATAGTTCTCTCTGGTCCTTTTTTTTTTTTTTTCAAGTATGGCTGAAAACTTTGGGTTTAATGGCATTTTTTTCAATGAAGCTATGTCTGAGAGCTCAGATCTGGAAGAGCATCCCTGTCATCTGAGATTATTTCTGTGCAGCCTAGACTGCAAAAAAGTAATTAGATTCATGGGTGGCTACTGCAGCTTTAATATATCTCCCTGATTCCCAAACCCTTGTGGTTGTTTTCAAATTAATACCAAGTCCAACTTTCTCTCTTACCTTACATGCCAAGAAGAGTTACAGGATGCTGGATCTCACAGTAAATAGATTGAGTTTCTGAGACAGACTCAATGCCAAAATCTCAATGCTAGTAATCAGCCCAGCTGAGTGACGTGAGTAGTAACAGATGTTTGACCCCATGAGCAAACAAAAGTTCTATGTGTTTTGCATCATTCAAGGAAAATGAAAGTGCATCAACTGTCAAATAATTACAGTTCAGCCATGCTTGATATTAATCACCTTCTTTCAACTGCCTCATGAGCAGATCTCCTCTTTGGCCTCTGAAGAGCTGCAGCGTTTTAGGGATGCAGAACTATCCTTGCAGAAGACAGAAGACGTTCAGGAAGAGCAGCTTTGTATCCCACCTGCCCCTGCCCAGCCACCACCACCACCTCCCATTCAGCTGGCAGCAGCAGCTCCTAAATCCTCTGCCACAGTTACAGGTAACCCATTGGAGGCAAGGCAAGCTCTAATGGAGGCCATTCGCTCTGGTGCTGCAGCAGCAAAGTTAAGAAAGGTAATGTACTTTTATATTTTACTGTGGATGAAACAACCTATGCTAGCTGTGTTTTCTGAGACCTTTTTAAGCTGTTCTAGATGCACATTTCTTTCTTCCAGCAGGAGAAGGTACATGTACTGTTTTCTCTAGCTGAATCAAAGATAGGAATGTATTTGAAACCTTTGGACAGCTAATGAAACACACCTGTGCATATATGCAGCAATTTGAATAGTTAATACTTTTTATTAAAAGAGACAATCAGGAGCATGTGTATAATTTCAGAAAGTATCTTTGTTACCTTTTCATTTTTGTGTATCTGAGATAATGCTGTATGTCCTTTAGACAAGGTGAACTTAAGAAAGATCAGATATGAGACCCTGAAGCAAATTTATAAATAAGTACTCTCTCCTAATTTCAGTAGTGTGTCCTAGACCTTGATTCCCAACACTTACACCTTGGTCACATGTGCTGAGAGCTGACAGTAAAGCTGGGAGGTCAATTTAATGTCTGCCTGAACTTTATTAATTGAATGGCACGTGTGAATCAGTCATCTCCTAGATGGCTAAATGCTCAGTTGCCTGTGTGTGATTTGATTTGCCTCTTTGATCAAAGTTTTTTCTTCCTAATCTCAAGTTACACCGCATTTCTTGGTGAAGAGAAGCAGATCAATTGGCCTTACTGGAAGCATCCCAATGTTACACTGCAGTATCCAAGAATGGACTTTGATCCAGGGATTTTAGGGAGTGTACAAAAGTAGATGTAGTTTTCCCAGCACATGATTTAGCTGATGCCAGCCATAAATGTGTAAACATTGCATACTTGTCCTCTTTTAGATAATGAAAAAATATGCTCAAATTTTAACATTTGAAAGTAGCCAAAAAAATATGATTTCTGATAAACCAGAAATTCCACAGAATCATACAAATGGCACAAACAAATTAGTGTTTCAGGGAAATTTACATCGGCATGTTCTGATTACATCAGAAGTCTGGATGTGCCGTTATTTTTCATGTGAAAAATAACTACGTTAAGCATAAGATTATGAGGAGCTTCTGAGTTCACTTGGTTTGTTCAGCTTGGAGAAGGCTAAGGGGCAACCTCATTGCAGTCAATGCCTTCCTCAAGCAGAGCAGCTGAGGGGCAGGTGCTGATATCCTCTCTGTGGTGACCAGTGATAGGACATGAGGAAATGCAGCTGTGTCAGGGGAAGTTCAGATGACAGTAGGAAAAGATTTTTCACTGAGAGAGTGGTTGGTCATCTGAACAGGCTCCCTGTGGAAGTGGTCACAGCACCAAACCTGTCAGATCTCGAGGAGCATCTGGATGATGCTCTTAGTCATATGGCTTAGTTTTAGGCAGTCGTGTGAGGAGCAGGGAGCTGGACTCAATGATCTTTATGGGTCCCTTCCAACTTGAGATACTCTATGATTCTAAGAGTACAAATTTTGAAGAAATCAGGCCTTTATTTCCCTACTGTACCAACTGACAGAAAAGAAGCAGGATTTGGACATTCAAGGATACGTGATGCAGTTATTTTCTTGATCATTCCAAATTTTTTGTTCTTCCAACTGCATTGCTCTTGCAGAAGTCTCTGAGGCAATCAGTAGCTCTACTCATGAAACCAAGTCTTTATCATTTCTTTGTGGATTTATTTCAAAACACTTGGATAACCAGTGCAGGCCATGAAAATACGCCAGATATTCTCACGTATTCTGCTAAATATTGTGCCTGTCTTGTTTCATTTCCAAGACAGAGTAATTTTTGGGAGTTTTGACATTGAAACAACAGAAGAGTATGTGTCATTATATAGGTCTTTTATGAAAATAAAAGAGAGCAGTGTTTTGTCCAAGACAGAGTATGATTTTCTTACTACTGTGCTGTTCTTTCAGATACTAGATATGCAAACTAGCCTTGTATACACAAAAGTCATCTTGACACTTTGACATCTGAGATCTCATGTCCTTGAAAACTGATAAAAGTAAAAATGTTGTCAGATTTCTCGAAGACTTTCTATCCAGTGTGTATTAATATCTCTTCTAGTTTTCCTGCATTAAATTGAGAGCCAAATTCCGATCCTTCCTTGCAGTTGGACAACTTATGACAGGAAAAGTTGAATCTATAGAGAAGAGACAATACATGATAGCTACATATCAGAGTTTTCTTCCTTTACCTGTGTCTAAAGAACACTGAGGTTTTTGTAGGCAATGGCTGACAGGTGGTTTTGTGCCAGGGCTGAAACAAACTTTTTTCTTTGTTTTGCATCCTCTGTCAAAGTTCTATGATGATGTGATATGTAGATGTGAGCACACAGCCGTTTTTGGCTTTCTGGAAGATTTTGGTTGCAGCAATTAGACAGCAGAGTAGGTAGTTCAGTTTAGTAATGGCGTCTGTTTCTCTTCCATTGTCTTCTCAAAGCTTTCTGGGACAAGGGCTTCTGACAGCAAAGTCATTTATTTAGGTAATATTGTGGAGAACTGGGAAGAATCTGTATTCCTTAGTTATGGTGCTTATTTATGAAGGAATATTTGCAATGGAAGCAGATCAAACGGGACTGTCGGTGGAACCAAATGTACAAAGCAACTAATTGCCTATATAAGGAGCATCCCAACAAACATTTGAGCTCTAGTAATATCTGTGAAAAGCCAACTCCTCCACTCCTCCCCTGATTACACAGCTATTTGCTAAAGTCATGAACTTTAAGGTTAAAAGATCCACTATGCAGGAAGGGAGGAGAGAAGTTGCTGGAGGCTGACCTTGCCTTGCTGAGAGTCAGGGTCTGCACAGCACAGTCTCTAAGTGGGTCAGCCAAAACAAACCAGAGCAGAAATAGGTGCTTGAGGAAAATACTAAGTATAGGTAAGACAGTACGTGCATAAGTCTTCTGGCTCTTCTTTAATCCATTTCTTGGAGTACTGTGCCTGCTTTGGCAAATAAATCACCCTTTGTTTTGAAGAAACAGCTTCTGTTTTATTGCACACTCTTGCTGTCCACACACTCTTGAAGGAAAATTCTTGGGGGTGCCAAGCCCAATTGGGCCTGCTCAGTAAAATGGTTCATCCGCAGTGCAGGGCAGTTCAGAGACCTGCCAGAAACTGGTTACGCTACAGATTCTACCTCAAGGGAGCGGAGACACAGGCATGTCACAGGAACAGGATGAACTTATTTACCAAACTGGAAAAGACCTGACAAAGTGCAGGAAGTAACCTTTTTCTTCAGTTTTTGAAATGGTCTGTCAAGGAACCTGACAGTTGTTCAACACATCCAAAGTATAACAGCAAGTCAGGGAGGTGGCATCAAGCAAAGCCACCAACCGTGATGACTGCCCCAGTGCCTTTGGTGGTTAATTGTCTTGAGAAATGAACGTGTCTCACTGGCAAGGAGCCTGCTTCCCAGTCATGCAGTCTGCCTCATGTGCAAAGGAGAATCAGTTGATGTAGGAAATAAACAGCTGATTTGAGACCAGATTTTGGCTAATTCTGGTGGGCAAAACTCAGGTCATAGAGCTGTACCATTTGTAGCTTCCAATGTTAAAAGTGAAGTAGTGTTTTCCTTCAGTTGTGTCAAACAGAATCACATAATGAAGATCTATATGTCCGGTTTTTAGCTTTCTATTTTCCATCTCAGAAAATGCAAAATAACCTAGATAGATTTCTAAAATTCTGTATATCAATGCATGTGTATTTTTGGTTTTGTGTAACTTGCCTTGGGATTTACTATGATTATCTGTGGAAAAAACATAACTACACATGCAAATAACCTGTTAGATGTCTAGCTGTAGGTATAGTTGCAGCACAAGTCCATGCAGGATTAAAAATCTTACCAAAGAAGAGAAGCTATAAAAGTTGCTTTAGGTTATATGCTGTCCATTCATTTTAGGTAGAGTTGTACCCAGGGATTTGATAGAAATACTGCAGGGGAATGTGCCTGCAAATGGTGGGAAAGGCAAGTTATATCTCTGAAGAACGGGCTCATGATTGATGGGTAAAATGATTGCTATAGACCACTTCTTAATGGTATGTGCAAGGGAGATTCTGCAGATTCCATATATCTTCCAACAAAGAGTTGCACCAAAGCAGCCCTTTCTGTTTGCTCACTGAGATTTTAAAAATTAATTTGGCTCCATCACAGTATCCACAAGCGTTTGTGCCAATGTTTGGCATAGGCATTAGGTCATGTGAACTCTTGATACGTGCAGTGTATCATTCTGTTGGCAATCAAAGGAGCCAGGTAAGATAATTACTGCACCATTACAATGAGTCCATGGTGTACACTGGGATAATTTGGAGTTGGTTGTCAACAATTAACACATTGATCTGAATTATGGCACATTGAGTGTGTTCTAGGAAGCATGGCCTAGTTCTATACCTTTATGTCAAGCAGTGGACTGTTCTTCTCACATAAGCGGAGATATATAATTGTGAATGAACAAATACTGTTTCTTACCATCAGTATCTGTGGGTGCAATGACAGGATTACAGACTCAAAGCCACAGTTAATGTTGACTTTGGTAGGCTGGAAATGGGGCAGGAGGCCCCACAATAAGGTTGGCCAAGCTTGATATACAGGTAGTCAAATGAGCCTATGAAGTGATTCTAGTTCCCATGCACAGTGAGAGGCGGGCATTTGCATGATGTTACTGTTTGAATTGAAAGATAAAACTTGAAAATAATTTGAACTCTTCACCTTGCTAATAATTTATATCATGACCTGTTTTTTTCCTCAAGAATAAAGTTTCTGCCATGGATACTAAGGCCAAAATGGAAAATTTAGGCTTGATCAAACACATGATTCCTATTTAGTTTTTGCGGTGACCTTAATGTATATCTCTATGATAGAATCAAAGCTCAGTAACTTTGAATTTGGAAGAGCACCTTAGCATATGAATTTAAAATTAAGCATATGCTTAGATGACCTGAGGACTGGGAAGGAAGATAAGCATTTGTTTAAGTATTTTCCTGAATCAAAGCCATTGGGAGTTTCCTTCATTTAATCAGGAAGCAAAGTACTCATCAATTGATTTTTATGGCCAGTGACAGCTAGCTGACACAGAATAGATTTTGACTGTCAGATGTTGCATACTCACAGCCTGGGTTTCTGTTCATTCCACAATGAAGGTCTTTCAGAGAAAAATGCATCACCTGTGTTCCAGAAATTGTGTAATTACAACCTAAATAACTGCAACATACGTAAGTATATATGAGTTGTGAGGTTTTTAGGGAAGAATAGCACCTTTCATTAAACCAACTGATACAGCTAGAAAATAACAGATAAGCTTTAAGTAGTCCCAAGGAGCAGATGAAGAGACCAAGCTTGAAAGCAGCCTCACAGGAGAATGTTTGATTAACAATGTCAACAGTTGGAGGTTTAAAAATATCTTGAATGATCATGTGTTTTTCTTTGTTATAGGTCCCTCTGCTTGTTTAAATCGTATAAAAAGAACAGATAATTGGAAAATCTTACCCCATATGCATCCATAATCATCATTCAAGCTCTGAAGTGGCAAAAAACATCAAGAAGTTTAGTATATTCTCTTGTCTACAAGCCAAAATAAGTTGTAGATAATTTTCTGTGTGTTCCTGCATAATGGTTCTAAGGGGGAAATATGTTGCTCTGCTGTAAAGCTTCTGTGCCAAGGAATTGTGTTTTGCCTCTGAATATTTAAAGTTGCCAATAAACCATTCTTGTTGGCAGGTTAATAAGAATATAAGCACTGTGCAGTCCTGTGTTAATACTTAATTGTATTTATGGGCAAAATTAAAAACTTTACTAGCTATCTGAAAAGTGATATTCATTTTAAGTTGTTAAAAATATTTCAAACTATTTCAAACTATTTACTTGCTTCTTATTTGATTTCAAAAAGGGCTGTAAATGGTTGGAGTGAAAACCAGAATAAAGGTCTATAAAAAACAATCACAAGAAAAAATTATGGTACCTAAGTTGTCATATGCTGGGGTCACTGGTTTTTAAAATTAAATTAACTTTCTATCTCTGATGGAGCTCCGAGAAAGCAGGCAATTAATAATGAATGTGAGACAGTGTCTATTGCAAAGTTACTTATGGGATATGACGTATAGAATGCTAATGCGCAGAGATATGCTGAACCCTAGTAACATTCATGGCACTTCAGAAATATTGAGCCACCTTAAAGGATCTCTATTTGCAACAGACTGTGAAGGTTTTAAATAAGATTCAGAGTCCTGCTTAGAGGTTCAAGATGTAGAATTCATTCCTGCGCTGCAAAATGAAGTGAAGCTGGTTTATATCAGTAACCAGGACTTTTGTGGACTCTTGTTCAGGTCGTGCATAAGTTGGCCCTTTATTTCTGATTTGTATGGCTGTTGTATGTTATCTCACAAGTATTTATAGCAGCATCTTTTTCAAATGTTAACTACTTTGGTAGTTGTTGTACATATTTTGAAAATATTTCGTTAAATTGATTAACTTAAAAAGGACAGATGAAAACGCTTTTTCACATTTCCTATATTGTAATGACACTGAAGAAGAGGAAGTTTGTACATTTACATTTTTATAATCATAGACTAGAGTGCTGGAAGATTCTTTTTTTTTTTTTGAGCTGGAATTTAAAATGTATAGTTATGGACTGTTGAAAGCACAAGAATATTTAGCCATCTGCAGTTAATGTGACTATATATTATATATTATTATATATTGTAAAATATTGATATCTGTTAATGCCACGAATAAAAACAAAATCAAAACCTGACATGGCTTGAAACGGTCTTTTTGCCAAATATTTTCCATTTACAGAAAGAAATTAGAACTAGAGATGGACTTAAGCAAACCAGTATGCTGTGCTTTATATCTCAAGTCTATATAAAATGTCTCAAGCCAGGAAAGAGCTCACAACTAACAGCCTAGTAATGCAGTAGAAATCATCAACTAAAATCAACATGTCACTTAATATACATTTCAATAATGATGCAGTACTGATAATGCTCCACTTCCTCATTAGGAAAGCTAATATATTCAGAATTAAGGTGCTCTGTCTCACCGTAGGATAAATAAGATAACCTTTGTTGATTGTGATTAGCCTTCTTTTGCCTTAAAAGTCTTCTCAGTATGCTGAAGATCAGAAATGCTAACATTGAAAATGTTATCACAGAAAATGATTCAGTCACTCATAAGTTTGAATGCTGCAGATAGTCCCATTAGCAGGAAATAGAGCTTCCTTTGTTAGGTGCTGCAAGACAAAATTCAGTGCAGGTCTCCTTCTTGTTCTTAGTGTTGCCTGAAGGCCCTGGGTGTGTAACCTCTCCTTACTAGCATCCTTTTAGTGTGATACATTATATGAGTACTTACTTTTCAATGTAGGGGATTCAAAACTAGATTGTTGGATGATAATATCCTCTGGGCTTCACAATGCAAAGGTTCTGGTTCTGGATGCTGGCACTGCATAGAACTAAAGTTTCTAAGTGTTATTCCTGGGTAAACTTCTGAGTATTTAGTTCCCATGGATAAAACACTATAAAAACAAGATAAGATGTCATCTTCACTGTGACAGCAAAAAAAAAATTACAAAAATCCTGATGGCTCAGTCACACCTCAGACTAGAAATTGAGGGGGAGTTCAGCTGTCTACAGTAGGAAGTCTAGGCTGGCTGTTCATTCCCTTCTCATATTGATGGGAGTTGTGCCTGCTCTTATGTTATCATCTAGGTGCTGTGGAATTCTTGGTAACAGCTCAGTTTAACCCCAAGTGAATACAGATTTTATTATAAACTCATTTATAATGAAACCTAGTTATGGGTATGACCCTTCCATGTAGTAACTTTCTATTAAAGCTTTTAGTAGTAATAATGTTTAACTCATCCTGAGTTAAAAGGAAAGCCCTGAAATATCTCTGTTAAAGACATTGTGTCCTAAGCACTGAGTATTTTCATGTATATGGCTGCTCTTACTGTCCCACACTGTTTGCTAGTGCAGACACAGCCTGTGTCTAGGGGTACGCATGCTGCTGAGGTTAGTCCCTGACGTATCCCGTAACGGCACCTGTAGCTGCACAGTCTGCAGGCTGCTTTTGTTTCTGAAGGACTGAAAGGACAGTGAGCCCCCCTTTTCCTTAGTGTATCTCTCAGCCTAGATTGTCCCCACATGCTCTTACCTCAGTTCAACCAGAGGAAAGAGTCTGATGCATGCCTGATTCATCCAACCCTTTATATTATCTTTTTTAGTAAGAGACTAAAATGAGGTGAAAAATTGGTATCACCAGGGAAACTGAATGGAGAATTTGGATTTTGTATCTTTATTTCTTCTACAGATATAAACCAATGTTCAGAGCTTAGAGAAGTCCAGTCTAATGTCTCAAATAAAAATTTGTATGTCTCCCCTCCCTTTTTTTTACTCGTTTTTATTTACGTTTTTTTTAAAACTTGAGTTTGGAGTATTACTCAACCATTAAGCCAGCATTAAATCTCTCTGATTAGATTAAAATTTAATTTTAAATAATATTAATTGTCTGCATGAGGTATTTGACTTACAGGCCTTCATTATAGATTCCTTTTTTCTTGTAGAAACAGACTTTTAATGCTAGTTATGCAGAGTATTGGACCTGAACACCTAGACATGCACATCAATCTGCAGAGTTTCAGACATGGCAGGGTCTAACTTCCCCGACTCATACAAGTGATTTACACAATTTATGCTACAGCCAAAATAATTAGCACTTCATCAGTGTGTTGGAAAAAGGAAGAGAACAAGAGATGCATTTATGAAACAATGGAAAATGCCACCCTGGGATAGATTTCCCTCTAACCTCTTCAGAAAAGAAAGAAACAGTTTTGTTGTGTGGTGCTGCTTAGCATTAAGCACAAGGTTTATTTTGAATCCAGAGATCTGCACAAATCTTGATTTGAATCAGTTTGTCTGAATGAAATGTTTATAAATTGGTTCTTTGTTGGTGCAGTATGAAAAATAGTTGGCTTCTGCAACTGTTAATTAACAACTTTTACATATTTAGAGTATTTATTTGTGTGTATTGTTTCTCTACTCATCTCTAATCCTCTGCTGAGTTACATATGCATTGTGCTTTGCCTCTGAGACTTCTGTTAAGATTTATTAGACTATTCCCATTCTTACTCCATTTGTTGCTGCTGACCACACATAATAAAATATGCCATGTCCCTGCTATAGCTTTAGCTACCATAATGGTTGCATTCCCCTGCTTGCAGAAAATGGCCTTTGCAATGATGATTGAGTTCCTTTTTTAAACATAAAATGAAACAAAGAAATTCCTGATTTTTCAGTAACGTTCACCTGGATTTGGTGCATCGCTATTCGCATCTGCTTTTCGGTTTTTGTTGCCGAGTAGGGTAGGGAGTTTGATTTGTTGCTGATGTCTTCATTTGGCTGGAGAAAGTTTCTATGTGTGGAACCACCCATTCCCAGGGTGGTTCATCAAAGTATGTTAAGATGGTTGAATCTTTCTTAGAGCAAAAAAAAAGTACTTTTTTTTTGTTGTTACTGTTACTAAATATTATTAAGTATTTGTTAAATAAATATAATTTGCTTAAGTATTAACAGGCTGCATGATGCTGTACCAGATATAAAAGTCCCTCTCTCCTGTATTTGTCTACCAACTTGAGGATTTTATTTGTTCTTTTTTAAACAGTTTTCTGATTTTTGCAATATTGAAGAGTTCAAAAAGAGATAGAAAATAGACCTACTTAACAGGAATATTGTGTTTTTCACACTTAAGGATTTTAGGAACAGGCTTCCATAGTCTGTTCCCTCCCATCACTCATTCCATATGTACAGGAGCACACACAAACAGAGAGAGTCTCCTTCATCGTTTCAGAAGGTCGGGAATAGTTTAAAAAGCATCTCTACCATGGGATCCTTTTCCATTTTTAACAGTAGCTTTTTTTGTCCTGTAAAATAGGAACTTTCAGAAAGTCAGGGACTAAGTTTTGACGCAGTCACAGCAGCTATATGCAGTCACTTCTGGAAGCAATTTCAAATCCGGTTCCAGATAATGCTATCTTCAGCTAATTTCCTTTTTTTTTTCTTCTTTACTTTTTTGTCTGTGGACTGATAAAAACACGTACATACCATGTCTCTTTTCTGAGGTCATTATTGTGCTTGAAGCCCTAAAAGCTTTTCCCCTGAACAAGGCATAGTGGTGTTGCAGTTGAACACCAGACTGAAAGAAGACATTATTCATTGTCCAGTTTGCAAGTCAGGAGTTGAAAAAGGAAACCTTATTGAAAGAACAAGACTGTGGAGCATCATTGTCTTCTACATCGGAACGTGTGTTTACTGCAATAGAAACAAAGCAAGCACAGTGCAAATAGGCATGGGTTTCCTTTGTCTTGTTTCATGTGTTCAACAGAGGGATTTCTGTCAGAAACTCTGGCATTTGCCCCTTGTAGTGCTTGGCACGGGTGAGTGGGTCACGGCTTGAGGGTTCTGATTTGGGTGGCAAGGGCATCACTGGTGGGTTGTGTCACTGGTTTGGGGTTGTTTTTTTTCCTTCTGATAAGCCAAAATGTGGTTTGATTTATCCAGTACTCAAGATGGCAAACCAAGTGCTTCTGCTGAAGCAATGAGCAAAGGCTCCACAGGTGGACAGCAGTTGAGGTGGAGAGTGATTCATGATCCAGTGTTTGCCAACTACAGTACCCAGATCCCAGCAGCCAGTAGCCCGTGCAATTTCTCTTCTTAAACCAGAGGCAATGATAATGCCAAAGGGAGAGGAAGTGGATGCATCTGCTTTCTGACAGAACCTAGGAGTAAGCGATCCAAAGAGCTGCAACCCTCCCTGCCACAGCAACATATAACAGTGCAAACAATGTACAGGAGGGGCCTCAGTAAGCAGTAGGTCACCAAAACTACTGTTAGATCTGAATTTTGGAAGTTACCAGTGAGATACTGAGGCTGAACATATCTCTGCTGATACATCTGCCTGGTGAGTTAGTTAACATGTTCAAGATGAGACTCAGCTATCCCCACTAGAGCTTTTGCTGATAAAACCCAGCCTCCAGTCCTTCAGTCAGCTCAGTTGGTGGCTGTACCTGGCACATTCCCTAAATAGCCAGAACGAAACACAGTAGT